CTTCGTCACACTGCCGACTCATGTTCATCTTGCAGTCCACTAGGACTCCAAGATCCCTTTCTGCTTCTGTTTCAGCAAGCAGGTCATTCCTTAGGCAGTAGGTATGCTGGACATTTTTCCTCCCTAGGTGCAGCACTTTGCATTTCTCCTTGTTGAATTGCATTCTGTTGTTTTCCGCCCATATGTCCAACCTGTCCAGGTCTGCTTGTAGTTGTTCCCTGCCCTCCGGTGTGTCTACTTCTCCCCACAGTTTTGTGTCATCCGCAAACTTGGACAGAGTACACTTCACTCCCTCATCCAAGTCGCTGATGAAGACCTTGAAGAGTACTGGTCCAAGGACCGAGCCCTGCGGGACACCACTGCCCACAGCCTTCCAGGTTGATACTGACCCATCCACTACGACTCTCTGGGTGTGAACCTCTAGCCAATTCGCCACCCACCGGACTGTGTAGTCATCCAAGTCACAGCCTCTTAACTTGTTCACCAGTATGGTGTGGGATACCGTATCGAAGGCCTTCCCCAGCCTGTAGGTTCCCCAACCTGTAGGTGTGCTGCTGGTTCTTCCTTCCCAGGTGCAGCACCTTGCACTTGTCAGTGTTGAAACCCATCCTGTTCTCATCCACCCACCCCTGTAACCTGTCTTGGTCCGATTGCAGCCTATTCCTCCCTTCTAGTGTGCCCACTTCTCCCCACATCTTAGTGTCGTCTGCGAATCTGAACAGGGTGCTTTTTACCCCCTCGTTTCCTGGGTCCTCCTTCCTCCCTTTTTTGAAACCGGAGCCACATTGGCCCTTTTCCAGTCCTCTGGCACCTCACCAGAGCACCACGAGTGCTCATAAAGCTGTGCCAGGGGTCCCGCAATGACCTCTGCTAATTCCCTCAGCACTCTGGGGTGGAGGTCGTCAGGACCAGCTGATTTAAATACGTCCAGTAAAAAAACTCCACAGCAGGATAGTACTTATATTTAGAGGAATATTCTGGTGCAGAGTAAATTATTTTACTGCGCAGCTAATTAGTCTGTCCCATGATTTATGAATCTTAAAACTATGAACTTCTCACACTCTCTCTAAAAACTATGGTAAAAAGATACAATTATGGAAATACACTTTATTTAGGTAAGAGCCAGGTTGAAATGTATCTATGAGTTTTATACAAATACATGAGCTCATAAACAGGCATTTATGCACCCACTTAGCCATCTATAGGCAAGCTGGAGAGAGAAATTTTGAAACTGCTATTGCAAGAATACATTACAGAACCATAAAAGGCAGGCATGCCTGGGAATGCAAACCCCAATTTTGAAAAGGGATCTTACTTTACACAAAGCTAAACTGCATGATCAGAATTGTCAGAGGTGTGAAAAATCACCAATAAAATTATAATCCCTAAGAAAATGCAAGTGCAAAGATCTCACTTGGCTCAATTTGATCTCTCTTCATTGTGCGGGTGGGGTATGAGACTACATGGTTGGTTTATGCCCCTTGCTTGACAAGTGACACAGAGTCAACATTCAGACAGTCTAGGACACCCTTAAAAAACCAAACCAAACCAAACCCTAGCAGTCTTTCAGGCTCAGGCATGGAGTAGTACTACAGAAACTGAACTGTACTTTAAAATGTGCTCCTTTAGGATTAACTAAGCAAGCACAAGCTAAACCTGGTCTGTGAGTAAAGGGAGAACATTTTTGTTTTACAGTGTCTGAATAATACTGTTTAACAGCACTGAACTTACTCTAAAAAGACTATAAGAAAACACAGTTTGTAGGTTTCTTATAATTAAAATATTCTGAATAATCTTATTTGTATTTTTGTTAACAACATAAGAGTCCCATAGAAAAGTCAAATATGAGAGCACTGATTAAAAATATAAAGAAAAAAAGTAAACTCACCACTATTTTTTAAAATGTCAAGCACCTGTATCAGAACATCTGGGTGGCTCATCTAAAAACGACCAAACAAATTAGGACAGGTTATTTTATTCAGAAACTGAGATGCTGAATTATAAATTTGGTTGAACTACATCCAAGTTGCACAATTGTGACAAACAAAATTTATCATTAATTTTTCACAATAAGACACTGTAATAATTAACCAATATTGAAACTATGTGCTAATAAATAATTCGGATAGCTTTCTCATTTAGGCTGCATTTAGTGAACTGTTCTAAAAAATACATCTGCTTTGGCTTCACATTAAACAGATTTCATCAAGTAAGCCCAAACTGCTCAGTGCATATTTAACAATTCAAGAGCCAACACTTACTTATAAATGAACACACACTGTCAAGAATGCAGATTTTCATGTCAGAACTACTCAAAACAACGTTATTAAACATGGACTTTTTTATTTTTCACAAATCTAATATACCTTTGCAACACACAGTTTTAAAGGTAAGCGGGAAATAGTTCATCAGAAATGATTAAGGATTATTTTTATGCACTCAGAGCTTCACCCACTAAGTGGCATTCAACATTTGTTTTCAAAAAGTTGTCCTAAAATACTCTATTATTGCCAGCCTCTTGCCTTTAAACTATTCTCAGTAGCCCTAAGGGACAGGACTAGAAGCAGTAGTCTCAAACTACAGCATAGGAAATTTAGGTTGGAGATTCGGAAGAACTTTCTCACTACGAGGGTGGCTTAGCAATATAACAGACTACACCTAGAGAGGTTGTGGAATCTCCATCCTTGGATATTTTCAAGGGCAGGTTAGACAGACCTGGGGTGGCTTAGTCAAGGATAACCCTGCCTTGAGCAAGAAGTTGCACTAGATGACCTTCTGAGTTCCTTCTAGCCTACTTTTCCTATGTACTCATGTTCCCATGAGTTCCTACTTTTCTACGATTCAGTTTTGCTATTGCTGCAATACTCAGCATGCTATGCCCGGCCAAAATACCACCACAAACATTGTAAGCTTTTCTGGAACAAGTCAGTGCAGAAAGGGTGAGATTGGCTAGTGTTTTGTTTGTTTGTTTTTTATTTTATGGTGTGTTTCTTGCATTACTTTTTATTATGTTTATCACACAGGGAGCACCTACATGAGATGCTTTACTGTGCAGTATACTAATCTACTACATAGTAAATTGTCACCATCTACATGTGCACAGCATTTACTGCACAGTACATTAGTCTAATGCATGGTTAGCTAGCTCCTGTAGATACAGGTACAGATTTACTGCACAGTAGCACATGTGTAGACAGCTGGCTGGGAGCAAATTGCTTCCAGTTAGCCCAGGCAGCAGAGAGTGGGAGAAACTGCCCCCTGCTCCGGGGCAGCTGCCAGCTTCCCAGCCCTGCACCCTGACCAGCAGTTCTCCCGCCTCCTACTGCCTGAGCTGACCAGTAGCAATCTGCTGATCAGGGGGCACGGCTGGGAGGCAGCTGCCCTAGAGGCAGGACAGCTCCCCCCTGTCCGTCCCCCACTGCCCCAGCCCAGGCCTGACCTCAGTGCCCCCTGCCAGCCTGGGGCTGACACCCGGGGGAGCCTAGAGTTCCCCCTGGCTGTGGTAAGCTGGCAGAGCAGGGCAGGAGTAGCCCTGCACTGAACTGCTCCTGTCAGGAGCAAATTTACTCCTGACAGGTGTACATGTAGACATGCTCCTGGAGAAAGCTTACTGTGCCTTACTTTACTGCGCAGTAAGTTTACAGTGCATTAATAGCATGTGCAGATGTACCCACAGTGTAGTAAAAATGCATTACTAACAGCACTGCACATGCATCCCCTGAGTGTGGCTGTGCACCCCCTGCGAAAAGGCGCTGTTGACACTGCTGACGGCGCACGTGGGCGGTCGCTGCTCACCACCCCGCCTTGCCACTGACACCACCGGTGGTGTCTGCAGGCAGTCCACTGCCACATGCCCCCTGCCACCAACAGCATCACAGCCACCTGTGGGAGGTCCCCACTTGCCACTGCCACGCTCCCGCTGCTGCCGTCACCTGCGGGAGCTTGCCATGCCCCCCCAGCCCCTGGGGGCATGCAACGTTCATGACTAGCAGCCTAATAAAAAGCTAGCTTCACTGCTAGGGAAGATTTCTTGGTAAATATGATCATAATATGTTATAAACCAAGTTGGAAATAAAATATCAGTTTTAAGTTAAATTTTCAATAAAATGTGGATTCTAAATACCTTTCAACTGTTCCTATTTGGGTCATTCTGAACATAAGAACCACTTGGTTTATTTGGGGTAAACTATTTCTCATTTGCCTTTAAAAATTATGTTAGACTGAAGAATACTAGAAATTAAAGGTACCATGTACATGTATTCAATTAAAATAAGTTCACACTAATAAAAACCTTTTCTGTCAATTAGCTGTACAGGATATCAAAACACTAATAGCGCTTAATTTACATGCTATTTGCTACTATAACAACAATTAGCCTTAATGGAAGATGAAGTCAACTGAATAGATATTAATGTAGTTTACAGGCCAATTTTGAAAATAATTAAGACAAAAGCAACCTACTTACCCTGGGGGGGAATTTTATGTCAATATTAATATCACTAGTTTTAAAAGCAAATCCAGTCAGGCAGGAGCCATACATCCGCAGTGAACAATCTGGAAAACAAAGAAAAGATAATTGAAAAGATGCTGAGACCAACTGTATCCCCAGAAATTAAACAAACATTTTTAAGGCACTGTTTTATGCCAGCGATAGTATTCCAAGTTACTTCAATGAATACTTAATTCACCTTTCCATCTATTCAGTAAAGCCACATAACAGAAAACTAGAGACTCAAAGAATTTAATTTTCAAACCCTCCAAATTAAGTAAGAGAAAAAAGAATATTATCTAACTTGTTATGCCGGTATGCATTCTGTTTTTAATCCTGTAAAATTGCAGCCACTATCATGATATTGCTGGGTGGTTTTAAAAAACAGTTTTCATGGGTATTAAAGAATTTAATTTCATGTCAGCATTCGATCAACTGCCTAAGTCTTTGCTGACTCTCAAACCCCATTCCTACAAATGTCATTCCGTGTACATACCATGGTACCAGGACCAAGTAAAAAGACCTAAATTTATTGTAAGATGAAAAATATCAGCTAATTTATAAAACAGGCAATAATATGAATTTATAAACACTTCTATAAATAAAATCAGAGCTTGAAAAGGTATTTTCTGCCAATGAAAGCTCAATACATCATTCATTGCAGAATCATGGATAATTTCACTATTGTTAATATAGTGCCTAGACTTTTGTGCTCTCATATTTTAAGCAGATCCGTTAGCACTGTAGGAGATAGTAAAAAGGTAAAGCAAAGTCAAATAAAATCATCAATATACTTTATAAGGGCATCAGAAACTGGATTTGAGTTATTTTAACTCCCAAATTTATTATTTCATCTTTAATGAAAACATCAAGATTTTACCTATAATTGTTACACTAAATAAAGGAAATGGGGCTTGCACCTAAAGAAATCACAGGGGCCCATGGATACCTGGTAAGGGCTGCTGAATAATCTTCTCCATCTCATTTACAATTTCCTGGCGGATTCTGAAGTCATCATCTGATATGCCTTGTTCATTTGCTGCTTCAATGAGTGTAAAACTTAAAGCATTCAACTGTGCAGTGGAAGGAGGTGGGAGGGCACGCAGCTCATTTTCTTCCTGTTTTTCCTAAAACATTTTTAGATGATAGAAAGACAAGCTGATATTTTAAAAAGACAAAGGTTTCATCTTATTTCATTAGGCTTAAATATATTTTATCTTTATATATCTACACACATGCACACTTATTTTGATGTCTTAAAAAAAAAAACCAATATATCATTTTAATATATTGAAATTTAACTTATTCAGACCATTTCCAAAACGAGATTTGAACTTCGTTATCAAACTCTGTATGCCAACACAGCTTATGGAAAGACTGGATCCTCAGCATTACCAGTAGGTTCTTTCTTGCTGACATCACAGAAGAAATTGGGATGTTAACATTCTCTGAACCACATTTCATGGCCAAAAATTCTGACATACTATCCATCAAAGGAATTCCAAGACCGCTGTAATTTTTTCCTAAACAAACCCTAACGTAGCGACTAAAAACTAGAGAAACCTCCTTCAGTCCAACCCAGAGAAGCCATCACGATTGAAAGGAGAGTGCATAGGGATACCAGTGAGGCAGAAAGTTCCTGACTCTTAGGAAGCTAATTCCCTTTCTGCAAGACCAAGCAAGTGTTAATCAATTAAATTATACATAATTTCACCTATGGAGTTAACTACTTCAGATGAATCAAAACCATGTAGTTTTAAGTCACCAAGATTTAAATGTGAACACAGCTTGCTCCTAAAATTAACTGACAGATTAAAATGTGTAACTTGCAGTAGAAATATCTTGGTCAATAAATAGCATGGCTTCAGCAAGTAAGGGTCCATTATGCACAAACAGAACTCCATGCTAAAGCAGATAAATGATGTATATTGGACCTCTACACTTATATGTACGTACTCTACTTATCCAGTAAATTCTATTTTTATTTCTTACTCTGAAAAATTAAACTTAAAATATATATTTGTAAAGGTTTCTTTTTAACATTGTTGCCATGGATTTTGATTACGGTGGGGAAGTTGCTGCCGGTAAACTGATTTAGTCACTCAGCATGATAAATGTCATCAGATCTGAGTTCTCATATGCTGTAATGGTACAAATATATATATATGACCTAGCTGGTTTTCTTGCACTATTGAATTATGAATATATAATATTTAATAGAAATGTGTGCGTGCCCGCATATCTAAAATTAGAAGCGCAATATATATAAGGTTTGAACCTAGTTTTAGTTCTACAGTGTCTGAATGGATAAGTATATTTTACAAAATATAATTTATACATGTAGACTGCACTCATCATCATATTTGGTCTTGCATTATAACATGGCCAAACGTCAAGATACAAACCATCTCTACCTCTATTTTTACCCATTAGATTCAACTACCTCCTTTCCACCCTGCCCCCTCCTTTTTTTTCTTTTTTTCTTTTTTTTTTTAAAGTCACCAAACTTGGACTCTGTCTCCCATCCCAGTACCAACCAGGCCCAACCCTGCTTAACTTCCAAAATGAGATGGGATGCATACAGAGTTGTATGACTGTAGACAATCAGTGCTTGTAATTTAGTACAAGTGAGACTATTCAAGGCCAGAGCCCTCCAACTAAAGCTGATTTGCTGCCAGGTCTCTAGAGACAGACAGACAGCGAGTCTGAGTTCTGCGAGAGTGATCTTAGACCTTTTAGGATATTCCTGATCACCACCACCATCTGGCTCTGTGCAAGATAAGAGGACTAAAAAGTAGAGAAGAAAAACATGAAACACTGGTGTTTGTGCAGCCACAAGTACTTAATAAACTGAATTATGGACAATGGTAATAGGGAAGAGATGAATTTATACAGTCTGGTGAATTCCAAGTACGTGTCAATTTGGAGGTACATAAACTTGTGGCAAAATTAGCAACGGGATGTTCACTATGATTTCACACACACAATTATTGCTTTGAAAACAAGTGGCCTGTGGTGAGAAAAGTACCTGCCTTTTTTCCTTAGATACTCAAGGCTCAACCTATTACCTTTTATATTCAACATATATTTAAAGCAGATTGAAGAGATTATAAGAAACGAGCTCATACAATCTCAAAGACTGAAACCAACGTTATCTTTCTTGATGTTGCAGACAGCACTGGTCCCTTGTTGCTTCACGATTTGAGGAATCTGCATTAAAAATAATGTCTCGAATCTGTTAAAATCAGAGGCGGTACTCGTAACAAGGCTACAGCTTTTGAAGGAACCAACAAAAACTGTGACCTTGGCTTCCAGCGAAAGTATCTCATCAAGACAGTACAACACAGAGGTCATAATGGCTTTTTCAATCTTTGTGGAGGGCAATACAGCAGTAGTAACCAAGAAAACCATTTTTAATTTCTCTGGATCAGTAGATCAGACCTTTCGCCCAAGTGAGGAACTAGTAACAGTGATCTGCATTTCTGTCACTTCAAAACTGGATTACAACACCATATCCTGGAATGACCCAGAAGACAGCCCACAAATTACAAATGATTGAACAAGCACAAATCAAACCCTACATGGAACGAGCCAAGAAGAGCACATCATTGCAAAACTGTCTCACACCGGCTGCCATTTCAGTTTTGAAAGTTCCTGATCCTAATTCTTATCTATAAAGATTTCAATGGATTAAGACATGTGTATCTCAAAGATTCGCCCTTGTCTCTCTGAGGGTCACCATGGTATGTATATTCAAGAGGGACATTAGGAACAACAGAACCCAGATATGACTTTTCCCATTGTTCTCAAGAATGCCCTCAATTCTGAACCTGCCAGCACTGGAGATTAGGGCAAGTCTTGCAGGTGCCAGACTGCAGTATAAACCTGTTGAGCAGGTGATCTATCTAACAACTCCCACAGCATTCTTGCAAGCAAGCTAAGGAAGTAGAGGTTGGATAAATGAACTGTGAGACGGACAGAAAACCGGCTGGACTCAGAGGGTAATGTAACAGCCCCACGCCTGACTTGCCTGCCTGCAGCGACACAGAGAGCTGAATTGCCCCTGTGTGAGCCAACACCGCACCAACCAGGAGTGTGCTCCCGATTGGGCTGGAGCCCCAGGGCAATGGGGCAAAAACGTGCCGGAGGCAGGGGCTAAGGGGAATGGCAGCGAGGACAGTGGAAGCAGTACCTTGAGTACCTGGGAAAAGGCCAGATGGTACCCAGAGACAACCCACAGGGAGATAACTGGGGGAAGAGATCCTGGAAGCAGCATCCAAACTGTGGGGGCCCGCCAGGGACCCCCACGTACCTGAAACTCGTCAGCAGTCAGCTGGGAGGGAGCACGGGCCTCCTGAGGGGCCCAGCGCCAGTACAGGAAGGGTCTGCCTGGAGAGACCACATTGCCAAGAGACTCAAAGGGCCCAACAGCAAGACAAGAGGGGCACGTAAGGCCCAAAGTAATTCGCACCCCAAGAAGGGGGAGAGGCTCGGTACAGCAAGGCATCAGTGCCCTGCCTAGCTATCAGGCCAAGCCATTTTGAGTTCATCTTATCTGTTTAGTTGCTCTTCTTTTTATGTTCCTGCATCAACACGAGCAGGGGACATACCATAAGGATCCAAAGCTCAGTGTACCCCATGGGGCTGCCCAAGTGACAAACACCTATGATGTACCAACAAGAGTGGCAATAACACGAGTGGAAAGTGGGTGGGGGACACAGGAGGGGGATGCCCACAGAAGACACGCTGCGGTCACACCTGGCCCACAGAGGACCACCGTATCACCTTCAGGTGGGTTCGTCTTCGGAACATCAAGTCAAGGCAGGCTAGTGGGTCAGATGTGACACGGCCCAGGGGCAGGTATTAATCAATGGTTCAATGTCTAGTTGGCAGGTGGTACCAAATGGGAGACCCTAGGGTTCGGTTTGGGGCCAATTTTGTTCAATATCTTCATCAGTGACCTGGGAGATGGGATGGGGTGCACCCTCAGCAAGCTTGCAGACGACAAAATAGGGGGAAGCAGTAGATATGCTGGAGGGTAGGGCTAAGATTCAGAGAGACCTCGACAAATTGGAGGAGTCAACCAAAAGAAATCTTGTGATGTTCAATAAGGACAAGCGCAAAGTCCTGCATTTAGGATGGAGCAATACTACTGGCTGGAGACTGACTGGCTAAGCAGCAGCTCTGTAGAAAAGGACCTGGGGTTACAATGGACAGTAAGCTGAATATGAGCCAACAGCGTGTCCTTGTTGCGATGACATATTGGGTTGCATTAGTAGAAGGTTGCCAGCAGATCGCGGGAAGTGATTATTCCCGTCTATTTGGCATGGGCAAGGGCACATCCGGAGTACTGTGTCCAGTTTTCAGCCCCTCCGACTACAGAAAGGATGTGGACAAGTTGGAATGAGTCCAGTGGAGGGCAACAAAAATGGTTAGGAGGCTGAGGTACACGACTTGTGAGCAGAGGCTGAGAGAGCTGGGGTTCTTTAGTCTGGAGAAGACTGAGTGGGGATTTAACAGCAGCCTTCAACTACCTGAAGGGTGGTGCAAAAGAGGACGGAGCTGGACTGTTCTCAGTGGTGGCAGATGACAGAACAAGGAGCAATGGGCTCAAGTTGCAGCAAGGGAAGTTTAGGTTAGATATTAAGAAAAACTCTCATGAGGATGGTAGTAAAGCTCTGGAACAGCTTGCCCAGAAAGGTTGTGAAGTCTCCATCCTTGGAGGTTTTTAAGACCCGGGTAGACAAAGCCTCGGTTGGGATGATCTAGTTGGGGGACGGCGCTGCTTTGAGCGGGGGGTTGGACTAGATGACCTCCTGAGGTCCCTCCTAACCCTCACTGTCTACGATTCTAACAGATCTCCTTCAGAATAGCCTCAGCAGCCTATGCCTGGAGAAAAAACACATTATTCCATCTATTCATAAAAGAGTGATTTAAAAGAGTAACGAAGGGAGAACAGATTTCTTCTCTAAAAGGATTAGTCAAGAGTTTTAAAGAATTTACGTAATGGCATACTGGAAAAGCCTCTGAAAGAAATGCCATGTTTATGTACAACACGTTCTTGTGGGCCAGACTGGCAGATTGATGTGGCAACACCTCCCACAGAAACTCTGGATTTCTACATCTAGAAAATAACTTCATTAAATGCATTAGTCCCAAGTATCCCAGGAGAGAAACTGGGCATTTCTGGATTCCCTGGATAAGCTGGTGTGCCCACCATCCATACTTACAAGCGCAACCAAACGTTATGCTATGTATAAAGTCTCAACAATACAAACAGGAAAGAGAACTGCATGCTTTTAAGCAATGTGTAACAAATGATTTCAAATAGATTTAGTTATAAAATACCCAACCAACACTAAACTAATAGATAGTTCTCTTTCAGTCTTGATTTATCAGATTCCCAGATTTGTATCAAAAAGTGGTTCACTGTCAAAAAAGAACAAAACACATGTATTGTAAACTCTTAACTAGTTAACTTACCATGATATTTTTCTTATGGCGTTTTTCTTTAATATGTTTATGAGCTCCTTGGATATTTTCAATGTGAACTAAGCAAAGCTTGCATAGATACTGGCAATTGGTGTATTCTGGGGAACGCTGAGGGGAAAAAAAGGAGATAAGATTAAAAAAAGCGATCTAAATGTTTTTGCCAGCAGTTCCCGAAAAAGTGAATTAAACGCCTTATGTTCTCAGTTGTGTCACGAATAAATAAAACTTGGCAATGATGCGGGAACTTTTAGTGTCAAAGTGCTGTAACAAGTGTTAACTACTGGTAATCTTCTCAGGACCTCTGCAAGGTACAGATTATCCCCATGTGACACTGAAACTGAGAAAGAAAGGTTATGCGATTTGCTCAAATCTAGTGTCAATGCCGGGATTTAGACATGGGAGCTCCCAAACCTTGAGCCTGATTTCAGGGACAGTGGACAATTGCCCTCTCATGCTGAAGTTTTTAAAATCTCAACCTGAATCCTCCTACTGTCTTTTTCCTTAATGAAACAACAGTAAATATGCATCACAATGTTATCCTTTTCAATAGTGTTCACAGCTGACAACTATTGTAACTGTTAAATACCTGTATCACCATTCTGCCTCCATGCTAACAGGTTTCTAGTTGATAAATCCACAGATTTTGTAGGTTAGAGATTAATGCACAGGGAATGTTCACTTTAAAACTCTTCTGCAATCTCAATATGCTTTTTAACCAAAAAAAATAATAAAAATATCGATGTACTGTGACACAAAATAAAAATACTGCAGTCTGGGCAATGTTCTCTCTCTCTATGATCTGACAAAAAAAACCTTAGGTATTTTTTACTACTTTGTATTTTCAGATAAAATGTCAATGCAAGGTAACTTGCTTATTTTGTTTTCATCACTAATATTCTGGGACCTTATTTTCTTTGAAAAATAAACCTAGTAAGAGGAAGCTAAACGTTAATTTAAAAATGTAACATGCTGGCAGTCACCCAACTAGGATTTTTGAGGGGGAAATCAAGGATATCCCCAAGGATTATGGTAGATTAAAGAAGTCCTTGAGTGCACTTGTAAAGCAGGAGGAATCTTTGTTTTGTTCTTAAATTGTGTTCTGTTTTTCTTAAATAGTCCTAATATTGATTTGGGTACTGCTTTTGAACAGATTGAAAGGAATACATAATGATGGCAGATTTTCACTGGCAGAAATGCATACTGAAATATGGCATTATTTAGCACAGTTATTTACAATGTTGGGACAACTACTATTTCAGATGCACCCAGGAGAGATAATGGAATGTTCTTACTTTAAAAAAAGAAGTATGGAATTAAAAATGTTGGTTGTGTTGTGCATCTACCATATGAGGGCTGTATATTCACTTTTCCAGTCCAAGTCTCTTATTTCAGAGGCCAGAATGCAATGCATGCATCAGCTACAGTGGGAGGAATCCACATCACCCAAAATATCTACTCTGCATAAGGAAGCAATTCCTATCCAGCCACACCTGCAGTGAGCACAAGGTGAGGTCTCACTAGCATGCAGATCAAAAGGAGTTAAAGGGCTCTTAACACAGCTGCAGAAGACACTGGTTTTAATCTTCTTCTAGGGAAAACATGCAACAAAAATATCACCACCTACTTTTTCGAGGCGGGAGATATAATCTCTTTCCAGTCGTTCTTCTGCTTGTTTCAGGCCGAGCTGCTGCTCTGCTGTCAAAGAAGATTCATCAATCACAGCAGTGTTTTCTAAATAATCAGTCTCCAAATTATGTTCCTTAGTTGATTCAGGATTCTTTATTTTACCTGGAGGATGGAGTTGGAATGTTATTATTATTTTCCAGAATAGCTAACAAAAATAAAGGAAATATAAAAATTAGCACTACAAAATTGTCTCTACGTGCTTTCACACAGGATTCCTCTCTCTGTAAGCTGAACTTGAGAGGATGCACGGTTTTCAGTCATTTTAATGGGAAGCAAATGGTCAACATCATAAGGAATAAAAGTGTCTCTGAAGAAAGAGACGCTAGAATCTCTTGAATGCTCTCCCGTGCAGTGCCTTCCAGTGATGCATTTCTTGTTCACCATTGCTTTAGAACAGACTAGACTGTAGCCTTGAGATCCTTTCCAAAGTGCTTGCTGCAGGCTGCCGCACAATGTTAGCACTGCTAGGTGTACAAACATGTCAAAGGATAAATCCAGAGGTTTCAAAAAGAAACCCAGTGTTAAAAATCGGCTGTGTTGTGGTCTCTGGGCTCCTGAATCTGGGGGGGCACCCGCAGAAGCTACCAATGGTGGTGGCCCTGTCGGGGGGGCACCAGCCCTACCGACAGTATCAGCGTCAGCCGTTGGGAGAGGGGGCACCGTCCGCGTCAGGGGAGGCACGTGCACCCTTGTGCACCCCCTACTAGTCGCCTATGGTCTAAGGACATAGGAAGGCAAGCATCTTTGAGTAGATGTGATATCTTTTATTAGACTAAGTGAGCAGTTGGAAAAAAGTTATTTGCAAGCTTTTGGGCACAAGTGCCCTTCTTCAGGCATAGAGAGTAAACAGCAGAGAAGGGTGCTTGTGCCCGAAAGCTTGCAAAGAACTTTTTTCCAACTACAGTACTCAGTTGATCTAATAAAAAAATATTTAAGGAGTTCTATATTACAGAAGAGAAAGTTTAAAGACATCAATGCAATGTCTTAGTAACCGAGTCTTACAGTCAGAGGCAGACTGGGGAGGGGGGTTGGTGCATGCAGTGGTCTAGTTGCAACCCCTGCCCTTGGATTCTAGCCCCAAACTTTTCAAGCCACCTGCCTGGGAGGGACAGCAGCATTTCTTTACAGGCAGTGCTAAGAGCTCCGTTGGTTAGAGTGTGGTGCTAATAACACTGGGATGCAGGTTTGAAACTTGATGGACTAGATCACTTGAGGTCCCTTCTAGCCTTACTTCTCTATGAACTATGACTGTGGCTCATTATCTCCTTGATTCCTGTCCACAGGTGTTAACTACCTTTAACAGCCCTTTCAAATCTCTCTTCTGCAATTTAGTTGCCCGTTAGCCATTCCTGGTAATCTCTCTCTTCTATTTTACGGCCCTAAAAAATGTTTTTAGCTCTAGCCAAAGACCTTAACTCAGATGTGGTAATATTAACTCAGGTGTAGAAATGACTGATAGTGAAGTATTGGAGACGCTGTCAAGATGCTCAAGAAGGCTAGATTTTGTTTTATAAATCTGAGTAAGAGACACATTTAGTTATAATGACTATGAGACTAATGACACAAGTATCTTTTGATTACTTTCATTACATTTTTCCCTAGTTTGTTGTGGGTTTTTTAAACTTTATATATAATCTAGCAAATGAGCACACATTCAAATAGTTATATTTGGTTTGATCTTAAACACATATTGTATTAAATGTGATGATGTACCACACCATCTGCACCCCCCTGCTTTTCAAAATCCTAGATCTACCCATGCTTACAGTAGTTCTTTAGGTCAGGAATCATCTTTTGCTAAGCATGTGTACAATACCTAGTATAACGTGCTACCGTAATACAACTAAACATTAATACAGAGGTTTAATTTGTTACATTGGCCATGTAAAGTTAAAAAAACCCAACATAATGCTATTTTAAAGAAATATATTACAGAAATCTCTCAGAAATACATTAGAAGGCTATTATCTAAGCATTACAACTGCATCCACTTGAGACGGTGCGATTTTAACAATGCACCCAATGCACACTGTGACACCACAGCTTTTTATGGTTCATTATAACACCTATGCTGCTGTCAATTATACACATGAAGGATCTTGAACAGACAATGCCTCCAGCAGACTATGATCTGTACATAATTTGTTAACCTGTACAAATCAGCTACACTGAACATTATTCTTATAACCAAGGACATCATCCATGAGAGTATCACCAAAAAGAATGAGATTTTAGGAGAGTAGAGTGAAAATGGTATCGAGACAGATAGCTTGGGGGCAGTTAGATATCAAGTAATTAAACAATTTCTGGACTGTGGGAGACTGGTGGTCCATACAGTACTTGCTGATGGCTCATAAAACTGAACGCATTAGGCTAACTTTTCCGGTTGCTAAACATCATTAAGACAGCTAAAAATGCATTCCATATTTTCCCACTGTGACTCTACCAATATTTTCCATGTAAATAATTGCTGTAGTTGTTAATGATATTATATGATCACGAATGGGAGAGGAGGTGATCCTCACAACAGCAAATGGCCTAGGAAACAATATTTCTATTAAACTGTGATCCGTACTTTGAAAAGGTCTGACAGCTCCTATAGTAAGGGGTTAACTAGACAAAGGAGCTCAACACTGCAGATAAAGCAGTTGCATATTCTGAAGTTGAAGGAGACCTAAAAACACAGGGCTCACAGAAATGGCGACTGAAAGCGTGCCTCAATCTTCTGAAGATTTGGAGAGAAAAACACCTCCACAGCAACCAAGTAAAAGACAAGTACAGGGACAGATCCTGCTGTCAGGGGTTGTGCAAGGGAGCAGGGAAGGGAACTGCCTCCAACTCCCAGCTCCCCCCTCAACCAAGGTGGGCAGACCACCCTGCAGAAGAAGCAGGAAAAGACTGTTTCACGTCCCCCCGAACAGGTAAGAATACCCCCCCATCTCGCTCTGTTCCCCCTCTGTCTCCATCCATGCTCAGCGGCACATCCCGTCCCGGTCCCTCCTCCCCCACGCACCAATGGTGCTGTCCTCGAGCTCCCCAGCTGCAGCTCCACAGCCACTCCTGCCCCAGTTCAACTGGGAGGGAGCACAGGGAGCCAGGCTGAGCCACAGTCGCAGGTGTGTTCCCCCACCTTGAGCTGCTCCTGTGCTGGCAAGCAACACCTGGGAGGTGGGCAGGAAGCAGAAACCCACCTGCTGGCCCTGCTGCTGTTGTCCCTCTTAAGCCTGGTTCCCTGTGGAGCAGGGCAGGAGCAGCTCAAGGCCACCTTGCCCATAGGGCAGCCTGGGACAGCAGCAGTGACAGGTGGGAGGGGGAGGCATCACTGAGCCCAGAGGGAAAGGGACAGGGCAATTCTTCCTTGATTCAGGGACTTAAAAGGTCCCCAAGCAGCTGCTCCCACTGCACCCCCTCTGGATCCACCCCTAGGCAATTCCTGTGCTAGAATGCAGATGAGTTTTTCTTTTTATTACTGCTAAGCCAAGACAGTGATATTAGAAAGATTTTGTTTTAATGTGATCTCGCTTCTCAAAGTAGCCCACGACTGACGCGCCAGCCAAAACATGGCTCTAAATAAATAAATGCTCCATTGCTTACAGTGGAGAAAAGACAAACTGTGACGTGCACTGCTCAGTAACAGAAGGTCCAAGTTCACAGTACGCTCTTTGTAAATGTACTGGAAGATTTGCTGTATGTAACTAAAAAGACATGCAAGACAGAAACACTTTGGAGCTCGTTTCAGAGCGGTAATAATTTCACTGCAGGAAAGCAATGAATTTAGTGTTGTATAATACTCACTGAAATCATCAGACTTATGCTCCACTGTTCTTTGATCTGAAACAGTCTTACCAGGGTCACCAGTCTGATCGGTGTGTGTTTTCAACAGGAGAGTCCCTGGTGGATATTCCAGTGCTGATTTCCCTCTCTGGGAGACTGCCGAGGTTTCCATACCGACTCCGTTCCCAGAAATAGGAGAGCTTGGAAAGTTTTCTCCCACTTGCTGAGCTTTTACCTGTTTTAGGTTTTCTACTGCTGCTGGCAAATTAGGTACTTTTTTTGCTTTTCCGTGACTTCGATCCTGAAGGATTGACACCGCTTCTTTAGTTCCAGGACTACAACTATTTACCTTACATGATTTATTATCCCCGGGTTTTTCAGAATAGACATCATTTTGCTTATTCTTTTTGCTACTGTTCCCACTTGGAGAACTTCTCCCCACGTCTTTCACAGATTTATCATTTCTGTTATGTTTGTAATTCTGACTGATTGTAACTCTGACTGTTTTGCCTTCCTCATAGACAACACGGGCAGACTTCCTCGGATCATGATTTCCATTCTTTGAGCTTTTGGCCTCTTCCATTATTGTGAAGATGTGCTTCTTCTGTCACTTAAGACTACTTGAAATTCTCCAGTAATTTGAAGTTGGTTTTAAATCCACAGTTCAGGCAAGAAACTTGGCAGATTGTCTGCTGGAGAAAAATAGTAGTGTACAGTTAAAAATAGGATAAGAACAATAGCAAAACTCCAGTGAGACTATGCAATAAGCAGTCCTCCCTACAGAATAAAGTAAATGTACCCGTTATGAAAGGAAGCATTTTCCAAAAATAGTGTAAATACTACTCAATAATAAAATGACTAATAAAGTAAGATCCACAAACATTTTACTAACGGCTATTTCTACTAAAAAGCGGGGAGGGGTTAGGGTTAGGCTATTTCTACTAAAAAGGGGGGAGGGGACAGAAAACAACAAGATACTTATCACAGTGTTAAATTGTGAACATATGTTATGCTCTCTTTCTTTTCTTCATTTTATAGCCATAAAATGGTTTTGAATAGATCTCTCGACTTTAGAAAAGCGCCGAGAAACACGTCAACAACATACACCGAGGGAAGGAAGTGAATGGAAATATTAAGTAAAACAAAAACATTACTGCAAAATAAAATCTTGCCTAATAAGGCCTTTTAGAGTTGAATTTAGGAGGTTGGTATCACTCCTTGCTTAAGCAATAATAATACCCATCAAAAATGCATGCTGATAATGATTACAACATTGTTTTCCTGTATGGAAGTGATTTAATTATATTCATAAACTGTACAAACAATAAGGGCAATAGGGGAAGTAGTTAGCTGAAGGAATTGGCAATTCGAAGCAGACCCTTTTGTTTCTAGGCTGCGAAGTCTGGTCCAGGTCGAGTTGCCATTGATCAAATAGTTATCAGATAATACTTGTTTGATGCATTATATTAAGGTAGGTTTGTGTAGGAGGAATCTTACTTCATTGACTACTAGACAGGTATCCAGATCAGGAGAAGGAGAAATCTTTTCTTGGGACCAACTATTTCCTTATTTTGATTTTCAAAGCAGACCATGTAGCTAAGAAGTCTGCAGTAAATATTTCTATTGCATGACCTGTGAGACAATGTACTTGCGCTCTGGAATTGGGAAACGTTTTGACGCTTATCTTGCTGGGATCCTGTGACCCCAGGTGACTTCCTGCCCCTTGGACAGGTGGCTGGACTCGATGATCTTATGAGGTCCCTTCCAGCCCGAATGTCTCTGAAATCTATGAAAATGCATGACCAAAAGCAGCCACTGCAGGAAGCTAACTCAGTTCAAAACATACAACATGCACTTATATGAATACAGGAAAAAACATTTCTTCTACAACTCAAAATGTGGAGAAGCAAAGATTTGACCTTTTATTCTTACTTAACACCTGCCTCCATAAAACCTTTCATGATATATTTTTGGATGTGAACTATTAATACATGGTTTCAGGTCAGATCTACTAAAGTATGTAAAAGAGCATCTACAATCAATAGAGCTGTCCAAACATTTTAGCTAAATGCAGATAAGCTAAGCCCATCTGAGCCCTAAGGCCTTAGTAATATCAGTCAGTACATGATGGGTGGGGGGGCAGAACAAGTCTTATTTCTTTGATCAGGCTGTTAAATGCCTTTTTTTTTTTAAATTAATCAAAGAACACTAATGTTGCTCAGAAGCAGAAGGGAGGCTTGTGACAGGCACTAGTAAAAACTTCTAAATAATTTTGAGATTACAAGTGCTGCTCTACAAAGGAGAAAGAACAGTTTTAAAATATTTATAACTGTGGGAAAACTTGAATACCAGTACCTTTGAAATATAAAGCTGATACTTTACCCACTAAGTTACACATCTTGTAGGTAGCAACCACAGGAATTTATGGGTGCTAAGCAAGCCATCAAATAGATACCCATATTGTTCAGCTGGGGAAAAATGGAAACACTGCAAAAAAAAAAAAATCAAAAAAAAAAAATACAAAAATTAACAACCAAAGGCCTGCCTAGATTTTATTACAATATAATTCATGCAAAATTGTATTTAACAGACACAGAAAGGAAGTCAGATTCAAAGTAATGTATTTGTAAAGCTCTTATTTCTTTATGTATTATAACAGCTCAGATTATTCAACCTGAACATAAAAAGACTAATTTACTATTCATCTTTCACGATGATTTTTTTTTTCCACATTTTCCTCGGTTTGAAGGTAGACTAAGCAAGTCTCAATTTCTGGTTCATGAATCTGCACAATGCTACAACTATTTCACTAGCAAACACTTCAGGAGAAGGTTCAAACTACGTACTATAAACTGATGGGATTTTTTTAAATTATTGAGATCATTGGGTTTCTATCTTCTTTCTGAAAAAAAGAAAACCCCAAAAAACAAAGCAAACAACCGACCAGAACAAAATGAAACAAAACTCAAAACAAGAACACACTACGTTCGTAGTGTACAATTAGTTATATTTTGCTTCTTTTTGAGAAGGGGGTCTTTCAATATTTCAGCTATAATGTTTGTCCATAAATAGAACAATTAAGACTAATTTATATTTGTTATATTAGAGGGATAGATATAAAAATATATAAAAAAGTCATAGGTGGGTCTTCCCTTGTTGAGATTCAAGAGCTATCACCAATTTCAGTTGCATGTGAGGCTGTAAGAGTTCACTCGGCTCTTTGCAGGGCTGTGTTAACAGAATGAGAATATTAAAAGTTGACCGAGTCTATCTCTGTAAAGCAGACTCCCACTCCTTTTCATAGGACATACACAAACTTGCAGCCAAGATGAGATAAGCTCCTCCTGGCTCGCCTCCCTTCTAGCTGCTGAAGGAACACCAGAGTCATATTTGAGTCTTGGCTGCAAAAACAAGCGGGCAGCAACTCCAAAAGCTGGATCCAGCACTCCGCTAATAAGCTACATCTCCAGCTGGCAAGCAGAAGATACAGCTCTGAAGACAGGTGAAACTGGATAGATGCTGTTAAGTTAAAAACAATCCTGTATTTTTTTTTTAATCTCCTAAATTACAAGCAAGACCTAGAAATAAATTCAAATCATAAAAAAAGGATTTTTTTTTTTTTTTTTTTAAATCCAGGGAAGCATTTTTTGAGACGATCCTACCTTTTCTCACTGACCACACCCCAAAATGAGTGGCAGGCTTGGCTTTGGGAAGGCAGAACGAAGGTTCAGAGTCAGGGCTGAAGCCAGCTGCATGGAGCAGGGGCAGGGTCTGCCCTTCATGCCCCCCCCAGTTTGGACCTCTTACAGCTTCTGCCAAGTTGGGAGACATTCAAGTACTGGGGAAGGGGACCCTGTTGCCCAAAAGTTTGTCCAAATTCTCCCGCAACTATATAGCTAGCCTAATACAAGTTTTCATGCTGCAAAATCCTTGCCTCTCACATATTTCCTGGACTATCAAGGCTATATCATTCCAACACTACCTTAAATATCTCAAATATTTTCAATTTGCATATACTGTATTTCTTTCTGCTTAGATGAGTAAATGACTCATCCGTTTCGCTTTTAGCTCTTATCAGTGTTTGGCTTTCGTGCAGGAGAACAAGACTTGGATTGCAAACATTTGGAGGAAAGAGAGGGATTTTTAAAAAATTTTTTTTCTTTTTAAAGAAAGTTAAACTGTTTCTAAACTAAAATAAAACAGGAATATTTCGGTTGGACTCAGATTTAATGAAAAGTTTGGGTTGGTTTTTTTTGCACAGCTGGTTCTAGGCTTAGGTGACCTGACTAACGCATACTGTTATCGAGTGGAAGCAAATAAATTGTAGGCCAACGTACGTCATTTATGACTTAATTTACTCAGTTTCTCTTAGCCATGAAAAGTAAAACCTGCAAGTCTTGTGTAGTTTGATTAGCACCTAAACTTAGAAATAAAGGTACAAGTTGAAAACACACACGGATGGCTAGTGGTCCTAAATATCTGGTTACTAATAGCAACACCGTCACCAAAATCAGAGCGCTGAATTTTTATTAAAACAACATCACTGAAGAGTGCTTATCACTGTGATAACAGCAGGACAGGAACCGCCCTGCTTTTATTGCACTGTTTTCAGTTTTCTCAATTATCTTGCTGCTACATAGAGAAATGCTCTTCCAATATAACAGTATGGACTTATTTAACCTTACTTGACAGAGGCTGCAATTCAGCTTGTAGCCTTATCTTTAGATTAGAATACCAGGCCCACTAGCATCACTGGAAAACTTAAGTTTCCCTCTTTAACCTGTTTCATATTGCTCAAAATTACTGCTAAAATTAAAAGGAAAATAGTGTAAAAGTTAAAAAGTATCAAATGAGATACCTGGTGACATCTGAGACACTGGCAGTAAATCAAATCTCAGAAAACTAGTATTTACTGGTATTTTTAAAATTAAATAACTTGATTCATCTATTACTAATTCTGAAGACTGAATGGCTCAAAGGATTAAAAACAGAATATCACCAGTAAATCACCCCCACCCCCAGCAATGACTTTTGATCAATTCTGTGTTACATTAGCTGATTTTTTTCTGATTGATGAACAACGGTTTGCTGGTCATAGTTTAGCTTCTTCAAAAACATGAACGTGTAGCTTGGAGGGTGAATGAAACCTTGTTGACATTAGTTACAACACAGGACAAGGGTTAGAAAGATCATTCAGACTGAACTAGTCTCTTACTTTTAACTGTAGTTTTTCTAGGTTAAAAATAATAAATTTAATATCAAAACTATTTAAACCAACATCATTTTTACAGTTTCCTTCAATTAAATAATGTTCTCTGTACCACGTCCACAAAAAAGGCAAAGAAAGCGAATACTACTATTATATAGGGCCACAGTGAATACGATTGTATTTAATGTGATAAAAGCTCAAAGTTCAGAACTATTTTATCTCAGAGATTATTATAAAACCAAACTGCATGGCTACACTTAAAGCCCGAGCGTTAATTTTCTAGCCTGCCAAAAGGTAAAAGCAACAAAAGCCAAAATAAGTCTCGCTCCGCTATTGCTGAGAAGGTTGCATTTAGTGATGTCAGAGCTGAATTTGGTCCTGAATATTTACATGAATATCAAAACTATCTAAATGATTATCAAAATGTCATTATGCTTGTAATACATAGCTCAAAGCAATCAGATTTTCTACTACCGATGAGAAATGATTAATCCTATAAATTGATTACAGGATTGGAAGAGGGCTAACGTCGTCCCAATCTTTAAGAAGGGGAGGAAGGAGGACCCGGGGAACTATAGACCAATCAGCCTTACTGCTATGTCTGGGGAAATCCTAGAAAAAATTATCAAGGAGCACAGGTGTGGGAGCCCACTAGCTAATGTGATGCGGAGGGATAACCAACATGGGTTTTTAGCAGGCAGGTCCTGCCTCACTAACCTAGTTTCCTTTTACGACAAGGCCACCAATTGCTTAGATGCAGGAGTCGAGGTGGATGTTATCGATTTGGACTTCAAGAAGGCCTTTGACACGGTATCCCATACTATCCTTATAAATAAACTGAGGGGATTTGCCTTGGATGACTATACGGTAGACTGGGTAGCAAACTGGCTCAAGGGTCACACCCAGAGAGTGATGGTGGATGGGTCGTTGTCAACCTGGAAAGATGCGGGCCATGGAGGCCCTCAGGGCTCAGTTCTGGGGCCAGTGTTGTTCAACACCTTCATAAGTGATCTGGATGAGGTGGTGGAAAGCACCCTGTCCAAATTCACGGATGACACAAAAATATGGGGTGAAGCTAGCACCCTGGAGAGGAGGAACCAGATCCAGGCTGACCTCGACAGGCTGGGGAAATGGGCAGAGAGCAACAGGAAGCAATTCAATAAGGACAAGTGCAAGATGCTGCATCTAGGGAGGAAGAACTGCCACCAAACCTACAGGCTGCGAGGCGACCTTCTCAGCTCCGCTGAGCCAGAAAGAGATCTCGGAGTCACTGTTGACTCCAGGATGAACATGAGTCGCCAATGCGATGAAGCAGTTGGCAGAGCCAATCGCACCTTGTCGTGCATCCATAGGTGCTTCACAAACAGGTCCAGGGAGGTGATTCTCCCCCTCTATGCGGCACTGGCCAGGCTGCAGATGGAGGACTGCGTCCAATTCTGGGTGCCACAGTTCAAGAGGGATGTGGACAACCTGGAGAGGGTCCAAAGAGCCGCTGTTCTGATTAAAGGTCTGCAGGGAAGGCCCTACAAGGAAAGGCTAAGGGACCTTAACCTCTTCAGCCTCTCCAAGAGAAGGCTGAGAGGGGACCTTGTGGCAGCATACAAATTCGTAAGTGGGAAGCAACATGAAGCAGGCGACAATCTGTTCACCAGGGCACCCCCTGGAACAGCAAGGAACAATGGCCATAAGCTACTGGAGAGAAGGTTTAGGCTGGACATTAGGAGAAAGTTCTTCACGGTAAGAGCTGCCAGGATCTGGAATGGGCTCCTAAGGGAGGTGGTGCTTGCCCCATCCTTGGGGGTCTTCAAGAGGAGACTGGACAGGCACCTGGCTGGGTTCACATCACCCCAGGGTTGGTGACTCTTTTCTTGCCTGCCAGGGGCAGGGGGTCAGACTAGATGGCCCACTGAGGTCCCTTCTGACTCTATGAATCTATGATTAATGAAACTTATAGAAGGTACATTCCTCTCCCCCACCCTGGGCAGACAAGGTTTTCCAAAAAATGAAAAAAAAAGTCCTTTTTCTCCTGATGCATAAATTGGTTAACTATATTCAACGGGGGGTGAGGAGGGGGGTGTCCGTCCACCTTCCTCTGAAGCACGGACACAGCTGAAGCTGGCAGGGATGAACTACTGCTCTGAATAGCTGGGTAAATCTTCCTTTCAGAGGCCTAGTTGGTAAGCCCGCTCACACTTGCGTTCCCGGTTATTAGACACTTTTCTATCAGGATAAAATTCTCACGGATCAGATCAGACCAGCTGGGTAGTGACCAAGAGGGCTGCCCGCCCTCCCCTGCAGCACAGGGCACAACTCGACTAGGCATCTCTCACCTGATCAACTCCCTGACGTTTCAGGGGCCTCTAGCTTCGTTCTTAACAAAAAGTTTTTACCTCCTGAAGTCCAACTCAAATCTCTGTATTTAGCATAAAGAGACCTGGAGGAAATATAATGGCCGATGGTCAAGCTAGATCTCCAATAGTCCCTTTTGGCCTAAAATGCAACATAATGTTCTGAGAATTATCAACAAAACCTAACCTTAATAACGATTAACGTTTCTACACCTAGCTGGCTTTTCACCATTACAGTTCAGCGGGCTTGCAAAATGCAAGGACCAGACAGTTTCACTTTTGACAGTTTTAAGTTTCATTTCCTGGTTCTCTTCCAGTCGTATTAGCAAAGGTTATATTTGAACTGCACCAACTAGAGGGAAGTGCTTCGATCCAAACAGGGCAAAAATGGGGCTTTTGTGTGTTTATTAAAATTTCAGAGACATTTCTATTCTTTTGTGAAACCTTTCACCTCTCCCCCTCCCAAAAGTTTAATTTTGCTCTTAAGCATCATTTAACCCTTTTATTTTTAAAAAGGAAACTACACTTTGTGTTCAGTTTTGTTGTACCAGCATACCTAGGGGGCAGAGGGAGGGGACTGGATAACTTCTGTGCCCCAGCTGTGTATGGTTTTCATATGCACTTTGTCCAAGGGCATTTACAAGTCATTCAAGCACTACTCATTCTTCATGGCATTAGGAAAAAAAAAAAAAAAAAAGTTCACCCTACAGCTCAATATGGTTAAATTGCATTTATTCATATTGCTAGAATTTAGAAGCTGCATCTAGATTATAACACCAAAATCACAGAGATTTATGGCTCTGAGCAGTAATGTTAATAATTACTGCAGCATTTCAGGCTTATGCATCTACCAGCAATGACCCAGGGCATCTAACTGTTGCTTTGCCCCTCTGATATTCCTGCCTGTTCTGGTCCTAGAAGTCCAAGTATTTAATTTCACAAAAGATCCCACTTCCAGCATCAAGCAAGAAGAGCAGAAAGACAGCAAGCTGAACTGTATATTATGTGAAAAACTGGTGTTGCCATAAATCCAATTATCTGGGTTCAGTGCTAATCTCTTATCACTCAGCAAGGAGGTTGCTTTTTAAATGTTGCAACCCAATTTGAAAGGCTAGTAATTTCTCCAGTCTAGTCCCAAGCTAAGAAATTTGGTAGTCAGCTTCCTGTGAAAAGTTTCCATCTGCATAAAATGCTTTATACCAGACTTAGACAACTGACCATTAAATTCCTTTTTGAGGGGAATAAAACAATTTTCTTTGATACAGAAGCAAGCAGACATACTGCATTTCTTTTCATCTCAATAGTTTTCATAAACAAGATGTACAGGTTGCAGGTTATTTTTTTTATTTGCATTGACATACTTGTTCTTCTTTTCCACAGAGTCAATATAAGTGGGAAAAAGTAAAGAAAAGGGATGTGGGCCTTAACACTGGACCACACTTTGGTGTGAAACTCCTAAATTCTCATTCCTGCCCTGATAACGATCCCCACTACAAAATGCAGCTGAAACTACTTCCCAGTCTCAAAGAGGTGTTGTGAACATTACCTACAGTTCATCCTTGTCCAGCATCACGACAATGAAAGCACACGGTATGCCTGACCCTGGGCAAACTCGAATGAATGAAGGGACTCCTACCATGTTTTGGATCAGGCCGCACGTATTATTGTAATCACGCCCTAAAATGCGTGCACATTTTACTAAGTTAAGGAACTGTTTTAACACAACTTATGCAATAGGATGTTTTTTCAAAATGCTGTGCGAGCTGTGGGTTCGCTCATATAGAATTAACTCTAAGCAGTGACACATGTTTTTGGAACAGTTTATCTGAACCCTTGCTTTAGAAAAGCTTTGGAAGGGAGTACATTCAAACACTTGGCATACAGTCTGACTCATGACAGTCTGCAAACAAACTATTGATTACAGTCTCCCAAGCCAAGGTTTCTTTTTTGTCAAGGAAATTCTGAATCTATGCATAGCTGCCAATTTGAGATCAGAAAAGGTAGACAAATGAAGTTTCTAAAGAGGATTCTGAGTCTTACTCACAACAGTTGCATTTGATATTACCTACTGTTGTCTACTTCACTGAATAGAAATAGGTACCTGTTTTGTCTTGAAAATTTACTGAAGATCATCAGCAGACCTATTCATTTAAAAAAAAACAAAACGTTAGAGCCAAAAGAAAGTTATTAAAACCACGCATGAACTCATAGATAGGCTGTACTGGATAAAAGTTAAATATGCTAAAAAAGGATTAGTATTCAGACTGTAACTGTATTCGTCTAGAGGAAAAGGCAATCAGGGCTCGTAGTAGAGATGGAGTTTGTTTTTTTTTTTTTACAATTTTTTTTTGCAGTATAATAAAATAAAAAGATATCATCTCTACTACGAGCCCCGATTCCCTAAAAAAAAGGATTTACATTTAGGGTCACTAACACCAAGGGATAGTGTAGTTAATACAATTTGACACTGCAAAGTTCAGAGAAAATTACTGAAGTACCTACACTTAAAAGAGAGTGTTATGATTTACCAACATGTAGTTTATGTTCATCAATATACCAGTTGTTAATGCGTGAAAAATCAGCACGAATACATTAAAACGCTAATATAACATTTGGCCTCGATCCTGGAGCTATGTCCATATGGAAAGGGGATAACGATAAGAGAGAAAGGCTGCTAGTATTTTTTTTTTTTTTTTAATTTCAGAGCCTATTAGTACGATCCCTGGAAAACATTAGGATTTATTCAGCACTGGGCAAGAAACTATGTGAATACATAGTAAAAAATTATAATCCTTCTCAGGGGAGCCCAAAGGAGAAAAGGAGGAAGGGGGAGGGAGCACCACAAAAAGGAACTAGAGATATTTTGCTTTCAGGTGGACTGGAGATAAGCACGATTCACTCGGCCGCCCCCACGACAACTAAGACGATGCCGGTATCCCCCCCCCCCAACACAACACAACACAACACAACACAACACAACTTTCTAAGCACTGTTTCCTGCCAAATACGTACCCCCCGCGCCATCAAGATGCCCCTGGTGAATAGCTCAATGCTGCTGGCAGCTCCCCTCCGGGCATTTGTGCAGACAGATCACACCAGGGCCTTTCTGCAGCAATACAGGGGCTTCCTCGACCCCTTCCTCAGGCTTCGTTTCACTAAAAACCCCGGGCCCGACGGGTCAGGCAGCCAAGAGGGGGTTTCTCGCTCCTCGAGAGAAAGTCTCAGGGACCAGGGCACACGCCAAGGGGCCGCAGGGGAGGCACCAAAGCAGGTAAACAGACCTGCCCCAGGATAACCCCGAGGGCAGTCACAGTACACGCACGCTCAGCCCGGGAAGTCCCTCGCCCACCTCCAGTCGGCCCCCAGGCGCCGGCCCCGCGTCCGGAGTCGCTGCGCGCACGTTCCCAGGCGGGGTCACGGGCGGGGCGGCTGCGGCTCAGCTGTGCCAGCCCGACCCCGCTCTCTGCCCATTGCGCCCCTGCTGTCTGGCACACAGCCAGACCGGAACTGGCCGCTCACTTCCTCTTCCTGCTTCCAGAGGCCTCTGGGATCCGCAGTCCAGACTCGCCCGGGGGGGCACGACTCTCGTCACTTCCTCTACCGGCTTCCACAGGCCTCTGGGATTTGTAGTCCGGAATGACAGCCCACAGGACCCTCCTCCCCACCCCACCCCTTCTGTTACACACTCCTATCACATTTCCAGCTTGCGCAATACATCACATGGCATGAAACGTACATTATGTCACCCCCCCCCCCCCCCCCCCCCCCACCCCCCCCCCCCCCCCCCCGTCTCAATGGGACGTGCCCCGGCGTCACCGAGCCACCCTCCGTGGTCTACCGGAGACTTGGAGGATGGGGGTCACTACTGATGTTGCCCCCACGTCTAGCCTTCCCCGTTGGATCTGCTCATCTTCGCTCTCATCAGGCCATGGGTCTCACCCAACATTTCCTGGCCTAGAAGCATCGTCTGCCAGCACCCCATTGGGCATATTTGGGGCCGTATTGGCGGGGGTTCGGTTACGATTGTCGATAAAAAGGCATCCCTAGCCCCCTAGTCTGTCCCGTGAGCACACATAGGGCTTCATCCGGTTATAGTACTACCCGTGTTTGTCCGGTCAGCCTGCTCGCCAGCTCATCTAACAACTCAAGTAACTTCTTGACGACTGTAGAGAGGCCACTGAAATCATTACAGAGCTTCTGGCACTGACCCTGCCTCCTAGTTTTGTTGTGCACCTACAGCTCATACACCTGTCCAGCGACCCCAAGGTCACAGCAGTCTTTCTGCCTGTGCGTGGCTACAGCCTGATGTCTCTTAACTGAGCTGGATGTAACCGGCCACTTTTATAACACGTTCAAACAGTCTGTTAAATCCTTCCGATGCATTTATTCCAAAGACAACATCAACAGACAGAAAAACCTCCCATCCAAGCACCGTATATGGCGGAGACCCTGTAGATGATTGGACATTGCTCTGGTAGGCCATCGTGATATACGAGAGTACCTCGTTTCGTACTGTCAGGTTGTCTTGAATCAGAGACAACCTGAGTACAGTTGAACTGTTCCACTAGCCCATCAGATCAGGGGCCGATAGGGTGCCGTGCAGGTTTTCTTACATTTCCAAAAGGTCACAGATGCGACAGAATAGCTGAGATTCAAAATTTCTCCCTTGGTCAATGTGGAGGGACTGAGGTACACTGTGATAGCACACAAATCTCTTGACACCATCTGAGCCTCCTGATCAGGGAAAGGGTAGGTAGGCTTCAGCCCACTTGGAGAAATAGCCAGCCGCTACTAAGACATACTTGTTTCCACGTGGTGTAGTGGGTAGGGGACCCAGGATATCCATGACTGTCCTTTCCAGGGGTCATCCAGACTGTGTGGAGATCACAGGAACCTTGGGATTACTCCTCATCCTTTTGCGTGCTGCACATCTCGCACAGTTTGCACCAGTCCATAATAAATCACCTCCAACCTAACCAGAAATACCAGGCCTGGACCTTAGGAGAGACTCTGTCCAAGCCAAATGTCCCCCACTATAGGAATCGTGCAGGGCTTGCAGAATTATTGGCATTTCCCTCTCTGGCACCACTATTTGAATGTGCTTGGGTCTCTGGGCAAACCCAGGAAGCTTCCGCACCAGGACAACTTGCCTAATGCTTAGTTCATGCCACACTACCTGGTATCGCTTTAGGTGAGGATGACGTTGCCCTTCTTCAGGGAATTCCCTGCTATTGAGTTCCTTCTACCTTATCGGTTTTTTGATGTCAGCATCTTCCCGTTGTTTTTTCCACCAATCTGTCAGCCATCTGGCTTTTTCTGCCTCTGGGTCTGGTTCACCCCTGGCTGTCTCAGCAGTTGATAGTGGTTGTATCCCCACTGTTTCATCTTCAGGTTCAACTTCCGCTGTGTGAAGTCTACCGAATAAGGTGTTGGTATTCCATGGTTGCCTCTTGAAGCGATGCACGCTGCCTGGTGGTCGAACTCTTCCAGCTGCTCCTGTTGTTCACTCCTGATTGCCTCTACTATTGATAGTGGTCATATCTCCACTGACCTGCTTTTAGGTTCACCCCCGTCATCCACGTGAGGCCTATGGGACAAGGCATCGGCATTCTGGCAGTGCATCGCCCTGGAAGGCAACATCTGGCAGTAGAACTCAGCCAGCTGTTCCAACCACCTGGCCAGCTGTCCTTCAGGTTGTTGAAAACTGTGCAAGTACAGGAGAGAACTATGATTTTCTCAGCATGAAGCGTCTTCGCAAGAGGAAGTGCCAAAAGTGCTTAGTAAAGGTCACCACATCAAGCAATTCCTCTCTGGCAGCTGCATATTGGCACTTGGCTTTGTTTAAGGTTCAGCTGGCATAGGCTATTACCCATTCTTGGCCTTCTTCAACTGGGAACAAAACAGCTCCAATGCCCAGGTCACTTGCATTAGCATCCAACAAGAAAGGTAAATGAGGATCAGAGTATGCCAAGATAGGGGATAACATCAACTGCTCTTTTAGCTCCTGGAAGGCATCTTGACATTCTTTTATCTTATCGGAGAGTTTATGCAAGGGGTCTGCAGTGGTAGCAAAACTCACCACAAAGCTGCAGTAGCAGGCTAGACCCAAAAAGCTGCACAATTCTTTCACATTTCAAGGTACTGGCCAGGTTTTGATGGTCTCCACTTTCCCTGGGTCAGGGTCTACCACCTCTGTAGAGACCACATGTCCCAAGAAGTTCACTTCCTTGCAGAAAAGCTGACATTTGACAGGTTTAATTTTTAGATTGGCTTCCTTCAGCCTCTCAAGCACAGCTCTCAGTTTCTGCAAAGGATGAATCTTTCAGGAGCACATCACAATGATACCATCTAGGTACACCACGCAGGAGGTCCCTTGTAAATCCACTAATACAATATCCATCACTCTCCAAAACGTACCAGGAGCACTGCATAGCCCAAAAGCCATAATATTAAACTAAAAAAGCCCCTTCTTAGTGCAGAATGCAGTCTTAGCTCTGTCCTCTGGGTGCACTTCCACCTGCCAGTACCCACTAGCTAGGTCATGGGTAGAGTCCAGCATGTTATCAATTCAAGGCAAAGGGTAGGCACCCTTAACAGTAACATCATTCAGCCCATGGTAATCCACTGAACCACACATTTCTCACTTTCATCCACACCAACACCACAGGAGCAGCCCGTGGGCTGACAGAGAACCTGATGATGTCCCTCTCTTCCATTCCTTGCAGCTGCTGGTCAAGCTCCTGCTGGAAATGTATAGGTACTCTTTGTGGCACTCGTTTGACAGGTCTGGCACTGTCCGTGTCGATCCGGTGCTTTGTTAGGCCTGTCTGTCCTGGGTAGTGGTCCCACAGGCTGAGTACATCAGGATGCTCCAGCAGTGCTTCCTGCACTGCCCCTGCTTGCCATACTGACTTAACTTGAACTCACATGCCAATAGTCCTGCAGTCCATTGGTGGTTCTCACCTGGCTCTCCAAGGTGCTGGTACTTGTCTGAGCTCAGTGCTCATAGCAACTGATTTCCCTGACCCAGGATCCTCCTACAGGACAACCACACCAGTTTCAAACATGACAATTATGGTACCAGGATATGAGACCTGAGGTTCTGCCAACATGCTGGCAATATGCACTGGGATTTCACCCCTGTGGCTTTTACCCACTGCAGTTTCCATTAGAAGCCCCAATTCCTTATTGGGCTTAGGTTCAAATAAGCCCTTCTAGTCCTTGCAGGACCATCTCTTCTGTTCGTCAGCAATCATTTCACTTCTAGGAGGTATTGTCATATTCTTCTCCACTACTACTTCACACACTCCGGTTTGACCATCTGTGGTATATAGGGGAAAACTTCGCTCCAGAAAGGAACAGGAACAATCAGCAAAACTCATGGCGACCTGAAATTGTTTTAGGAAATCGGTGCCCAACAATGCATCTTAAGCGGCATCCTCTGCTACGAGGAATTTGCATGGCAGCTACAGGTCTTGGAAGCTGATGGCTGCACACCATTCCTCTAGGACTGGGCGCACCTCCCCATTGGCAGCCTCGAGCACTAATCTACAAGGTCGAAGGTCCCTTTCACTCTCTTTTGTAACTTGCTCCCATACTTGGTGAAGTACAATGGATACCTGGCCACCTGAGTCTAGGAGGAGTTCGCAAGCGACCTCTCCTAGCTTCCCCTCCAGGTAGTATCCCAACCTTGTGGCAGTGACAATTACCACCTCATCCTGCAGGCCTCTGGGTTTACCAGCAACGGATAGGCCCCTCTGCACTGCCCGCTTTAGTTTCCCTGCCCACAATGCCACCTTCTCTCTGGGCACTCCCTCCTAAAGTGGTCACAGCAGCCACAGTGCCAGCATCGGTCAGCAGCCTCCTGACGAGATCCCAGCTATTGTGATCCAGGGGGTCTGTACTGACCCATCTGCCTTGGGGCTGAGCTTTCATACTCTTTTTGAGTTGATCCAGCTCACCCTGGATAGTCTTTATTGTCTCCATCATCATTTGCAAAGCTAGTGGTTCCAGGCTTTGGGTGTGTACTCCCAACTTCTCCTCCTTGGCATGCATATGTACCTTTGTCTTGGTGTCCTGGGTACTTAGAGCCCTCAGCTTGTTTGCCAACTCTAACTTAGTGGCTAGCTTTATAGCCTCATCCAGGCCCTGGGGTTTTCCCAGAGTTGGGCCTGCACCTCCCCACTGAAAGCACTGTTGAGAGAATGGTCACGATCCAGCATATCCTATATCTCTGGGCTGGCTTGTGGGAAGGCCTTTACAACTAGTTGTCCTAGAGCCAGGCCAAACTCTTGCACCGACTAAGGTGAGGTCCTCTTACAATTAAGGAAAGTAGCACCCACCCAGCATCTGGTTCCAAAGCATCTCCCAAGGCCCCTATCAGGTGCTTGCAATCCCACTGCTGAGCCACAGGTAGACCACCCTAGTCTCTCCTGTGAGCAACAGGCTCAGGAATTGTAGCTTAGTGGCCTTACATCATTTATTTAACACAGCTGCCATTTCAAACTGTTCATGCCTGTCAACC